AAGAGTGCCACCAGTTTTTTAAAAATTTCTTTGTTAATTATTTTTAATGAAGGAGTTCAATACTTTTGTTATGTAACTCTAACTCTTAATAAGAGATATAAAAAATAAATGATAACAATCGCTTGGTAATGTAAATGATGTAACGTAAGTTAAATACATAGTATCAAAGAAAAAAAATGTTTATTTTCCTTAGCCAGCCACCTCTGATAAATTTTTATATATTTTTTTAAGTTGATATAGAATTCTTAACATCTTGGAAAGTTTCTAACCACTTTGCTGATTTGCAGAAATCTGACTTAAAAGTTGAAGCAATTTTTTTACCTTGTTTTTGGTGTAATGTAAGTTAAGTGGCATTTTAAGTAATAAGTTCGCCCTTTTTTGGCCAGACTCAAAACTTTTTAGCCTATTTTATTCTTTAGATTAACAGCTTTCATACAAAATAGCTAAAAGTTTAATTTACAGTTTAAATAATTGATAAAGTTGTTAAACTAAACTAAAAGTTTAGTATTTTTGAAAATTTTGTAATTTTTTACTTTAAATAATTAAAAAAGCTATTTTAGATTCTGTTATGAGCTATTAACTATTTTAATATGTTTATGACTTAAGTTATATTAAATAAGGTTCAATAAATTAAGTCAAGTTAAAGAAATGTTTATGTCTTAAGCTATACATAAAGCAACAGTAAATGTCATTAATTGTTTTATTAGTAATAAATTTTAATTGTTTTGTTAGACAAGACAAAAAAAACTACAAGCTCTGGTAAGTTTTTGATTCAATAAATTGAAAACCAGAGTTTCGTGATTAATGTAATAGTCAAGTTTGATTCATTTTTATTTTACATTTGATGAGTAGCAAATGCCTCCTACCATTTTTAATTCTTTATTATATAATACAAATTCTACTAATTTTGTCAAAAAATTTTCAAGTTATTAAATAATGTATTTATTATAAGATATTTTTTACATACTTTACATTTAGGAATATCTTTTGATGCTGAAATATTGTTTGGTTTAACTAAATTTGCTAAACTGTTTGAATATTTCAAACAATTTAGAAAACTAAGGCAACATATATTTTTAAAAGTTTTTATCATATTTAAAGTTTTTGCTTTAAATGCAGCTAACAAATGTTATTTTTAGTACAAAATAATAAAAAAGATAATAAAAATGTAACATATAAATTCATGAAAGTTACTGTAAAGAAAAACTATATATTGCTTTTAAGAAATAATTTTATTAGTTACTTAATAATAATAATAACTAATAAAATCAGTAAGTTAATGTTTTGGTCCGATGTTAACCTTTTAAATCATAAACTAAGTGCTAAGAAATATAAACCATAATGTCTGTTTATAGAAATGAAATGATCACAATATAATCAAAAGTGCTTAAATAATAACAATAATATTATTGTTTATTATTAATTTTTTTTTTTAATTATGGTAATTCACTGCACACCGAGAAACAAGTTGAGCACAGTACTACCAGAGATGTGGTAGGGATAAAAATCGGAACTTGCTTATGAAGCAAGCGTTCTACTACTACACCACTATCGCATTAACTATTATTTACTTATTAATTATCTATTACTTAATCAAGTCTTCTCATGAAAGGCGTGCGGGTTTTTGTCTCATGAAAATGTTTTTCAAGTTAGAGAACGTGATCACAGCCGTTTGCGCAAGTTATATTATATGCGTTACTGAAAAATTGATTTAAATTTAATTCCTACATAAAAAATTAAAGTAAACTTAAATAGAAAACAATAATAATAGTTTAAATAATTTGTGTGTTGTTTTTATTTTTGTTTTTTTCTTAGTGGTTATTATTATCGGCAACAAAATTCATTAAGTCAAAGCAAAAAAAAAAAAAAAAATGATTTTAGACGTTAAAAAGGATGACTTTGCCATATTTTATGTGTTTTTTATTTTAAAGAGGAAAGAGCAAATATGTATCGTCATCTGTTTGTAAAATATATTTTTATAATTATAATGTAACAAGTTTATATCAAGAGTTAAATTATACGATCATGATTTGCTAACTCTGGTAAAATATAAGGTCTTTAAAATTTTAGTTCATGCAAAGCTGTGTACTTTATTTATAAGGAGCAAATTATTAAAAGTTTGCTAACAAAACAAAAACAATAAACTTACGACTACAAAAGTAATAACATTTTAGTCACTAACTGCATTATAAAAGTAATAAAACTATAATAGTGTTATTACATTTATAAAGCACTTATTACCTATAAAGTTCATTCTTTGTTCAAACTACTTTATTAAATCCAAATATTTAATAAAGTAGAAGAGCATCTAGAAAAAATAAAGCAGATATTCAAATATTATTAAAAATTTCAGGAACTTTCAGATATCACTTGAACAACATTATAAAAAAGAACTTTATAAAAAGTATAGCATTACGAAAAACGATACGTAAAAACGCGCGTTAGTTTTAAAATCAACCAATAAAAAATTTTTATTGATTAATTTTAAAATTAACGCGCATTTTTACCGTCGATTAGTAACGTTTTTCATAATGCTAAACTTTTAATACAATACGTTTTCATAAATTTGTTTGTCGCATTTTTATAAGTTACTTTAGTTTTAATATTATTTAAACATCCATTTTATTCTTCTAGATATTTTTCTACTTCAATTAAATTTTGGGAATACTAATGTTGCTTGAACAAAGAGTTATAAAAGTACTAACACTATTATAGTGTTATTACTTTTGTAATGTAGTTAGTGACTAGAGTGTTATTACTTTTTTAATCGTAAGTTTACTATTTTATTTTTTCGCTAACAAATTTAAGTTGATTCCCTTAAAAGCAAGGAACACCGTTTTGTATTAACTAAAATTTTGAATACTATATATTTTTCCAGATTTTACGTTTCGCATTCCCTTAATTCAACCCTTGTTGTTACATTAAAATTATACAAATAAATTTTACAAACACATTGCAATTTGTATTTTTGCCATCCTCTTAAAAAAAAATTAAGAAAAGAAAAATCATTCTTATTATTGTAGACTTCAAACTGTTTGTTTTTTTTTGCTTCGCCTAATCTAATTTTGTTGCTGAATGCAACTCTAAAAAAACAAAAATAAAAAAAGTTCACAAATGATTTAAATTATTAATTTGTTTTTATTTTTTTTTTATTTCAATCTCTTTTTATTTTGTTAGTTTTGTTTTCTTGTTTTTGAAACTTTTTCAGCATTATTATAAAACTTGCAAACGGCCGTGTTCACGTTTTCTAAAATATTATAATCGCGTGAGGCCATACGAGACGAAAAACCGCATGCCTTTCCTGGGAAGGCTTGTTAATTATTATTTACTTATTACTTATCCATTACTTAATTATTATTTACTTATTACTTATCTATTACTTAATTATTATTTACTTATTACTTATCTATTACATAATTAATATTTACTTATTACTTATCTATTACTTAATTATTATTTACTTAATACTTATCTATTGTTATAAACATTTAGTTATGTTCAAGCTGATTGGTTATAAAAAATATAATATATAATATAATAAAAAATTAACATATAACGAACAGTGAGTGAAGCGTGGAAGTTTTTTATAATGAACAAGAGAGTGAAGGGTGGAAGTTTCTGCATCTTTAGCACTATATTAGTAAAACTTAGAAAATACTACAACAAAATGAAAAGATATAACATGTTTTTATATGTATAAGAAAATATACAAAAAGTATAATACTTAATTACAGGCTTGGCCAGGAAGGCGTGCGATTTCAAGTCTTTATATGACCACAGAAATAATATTTTTTTTGATGATTTAACCACAATTTTTAACAAATGCACTGAAAATTTGGTTTTTAATTACATTATAAAAAACTTTGACAAGTTTATCTTTACTAACGTTTTTATATTAGCAAAAAATGCTTTTAAATAAAGTAGTTTATGATTTTAATTAAAGTATCGTTGAAAGTTGTATAAACTGTTATTTATATTATTTAATTATTTAAGATTTTCTAATAAGTAAAATAAAAAAAAGTAAAATAAAAAAAAGTAAAAATTTATTTAAAAAAAAATTTTTTAAGCAATTATATTAAACAGCGATGATCTTTAATAAATTTTATTAAAGTCAATTATCTTGAAAAGTAGAAATATTTTATTGAAAAGAAAAAAAAGACAAACTTTTTTAAAAGCTGTTAGAATTAAATAACTTTGATCTTTACTTAAGTTTTTATATTATTGAAAGACATTTAAATAAAGTAAAAAATTACTGCTAATGATTTTTTAAAAATATTTTTATGAATAAAGTATTTTTTTTTAATATTTATATAAGTGTGTATTTTTTATCATAAATGTCTTTGAATAAAAAAAATTTATATCCACTTTTTAAATAAACAATTTAATTTTGTTTTCTTTTGTTTATGTTACTCTGAAGAATTGTTAAGAATCTTTTTTTTATCTTTTAAATGTGCACATTTGTTAAACAATCGTTAGATATAAGTTGTTACTTTATTTAAAAAGGTTTTTGCATAATATTGTAATATAAAAACAGTAAAGATAAGCGATTAAGTTATTCCAAATGCGATTGAGTTATTCCAAATTCCAAAAGCGATTAAGTTATTCCAAATTCCAAAAGCGATTAAGTTATTCCAAATGTAATTAAGATAATCTTATTGTTATAGTTTATTATTTATTTTAGTTAAGTTTTACTTTTACTTTTTTATATTTAGTTTTGGTTAAGTTATTTTTACTTTTATTTTATTTTTAATTTTTATCTTTTACAAAGATTTATTTGCTTTTTTCACATTAATTTTTTTTTAAAGCTTCTTCATAGTTAAATTAACAAATTTTTTTAGCGCATTTTTAAAATTTATACAAACTTTCAAAACATATTAACAGCCATGGTCAAGTTTTCAAAATTACAGAGTATTTGTGTGGTCATATTATGACATGAAATCACACACCTTCCTGGCCAAGCCTGTTTATTATAAAGAAAAATAAATGTAAACTATACTCACATAGTAGCTTCAATTGATGATGAAACACCTTCACGAGGACGATGATCAGTAAGATAGTCATCCAATACGATTGGTTCAAGAAAGGACACTTGATTTGGTTTTTCATTTACAATATCTATTTCATCTACACCACTTTTTCGTTTTAAGGATTTGCTTCGAATTGTATCTATAATGAAGATGGTAAATATAAGGATAACATGATATCATGACAGAATCAAGCAACCAAATATTATCCAAAAAATTAAACAAAAAAAATTTAGAATAATGCAAACTAAGATAATTTATAATGATTCTGATATACAATAAAAATGTTTAGAAACATTTTTAATCAGTATATAAATAAATAAATAAAAAATATAAAAACTTAGAGAAGTGGAAATCAATGAATTTATGCATTATTTATTGCAATATTATTTATAGTTCAATGTAATATTAAATGTAATTTTATTTATATGTTATTTTTGTCAAAAATATTTGTTTTTATGTTTGTGCTGCCTTCATATAAAAAATGAATCATGTTTTGATAATAAAAATGTGTTATGTTAATAAGATTTTATGTTTGTGCTGCCTTCATAAAAAAACAAACTACGCTTTGATAATAAAAATGTGTTATGCTAATAAGTTTTTGTTTTTGCTCTGCCTTCATATAAAAAATGAATATGCTTTGATAATAAAAATGTGTAATGTTAATAAGATTTTATGTTTGTGCTGACTTTAAAAAAAAAAAAAAGAATTATGTTTTGATAATATATATTATACAAATTCATAAAAATAAGAAAAGTTTAGCAACAAATTTTTGCAAAAAATTTTATATAATTTGGTTATTGTTACTTAACTAAAATACTGGTCTCAGAAGGAGAATATTTATATTTGACACAGTAACAATATTTGTGCATTCAAAACTTTATAAAAGCCAATTAAATCCGCATTAATTTGCCTTATATGTAGTTTGTAGTCTAATTCAATCTTTAACTGTTTAAATTAAAACCATGATAGTTCAAGGTTGTATGAGTCATGAGTCATTAATCTTTAAAAAAACCACATTAACTTTTGAATAACGATATATAAAAATATTTATTACAAAAAAGAAGTTATGTTAAAAATAATTGTAGTAACTTTTCATCGTGATATATCTTACTTTTTTATAACAATTAATTTTACACTAAACTTTTTATTCATATATTTAGTAACATGAAAAATTGTTTGTCAATCCTTAACTACAAATATTTTGCAAATGTTTTTAATAAAAAGTAGTAATTTTTTAAAGTTTTAAAATACTTTTAAAAAATATATATTCCAAATTTATTAATACAGAATTTAAATGTTTTTTGTAATATAGATTTTTTCAGAGTTTTTACAAAATTGATATTAAAAAACATTTGAAAAAAATTTGCAATTAAGGGTTGACATTTTTTTTAATATCTCAAAAAATGTCTTAATATTTTTGTTATCATGATACACAGAAAAAAAAATTACCTGTTACTCGCAATTTTTGAATGAAGATAACTTGTTAAATATCTTCTGCGTGCGATTCAATAAGTTTTTTTTTTTCATAAATCAAGTTATATTATACGGGTAGACTATAACATCCGCTGATGACACTAATATTACGTTGAATGTATTTATATAATGGAGGTTTCATTATGCACGCGCACATTACAGACTCCGTTAAATAAATACTAAGGCACGTTTTAGTTTAATGACAGTCTCTATTTTTTACTAATGACTATGTATTTTTCTGTATAAAATAAGACAAATTAGTATATAAAAACCTCATATATTTCTATTCTCTCCAAATTGTTTAAAGTTCGAATATGGATTGTATTTTGAAGGACAAAAGATTTACTTTGAAAACTTTTAAATCCTGGGACTTTGCCAATGCTTTTCTAATTGAAACTATCACAGAAAAAGAGAAGACTCAAACGTTATTAAAATCAAATGTAAGTTATGTGATTTTTGTCAAAATAAAATATTATCCAAAACCAATGGTACAGCTGCAGGGCAGCTATCCTACGGTTTATAAATGACACAAGTCATGTTAAAAATTTCAACATATTACTATATTTTATTTAAATTGGCATACAAATAAAAATAAAAATATAGCTCAATAAATAAATTAAATTTGTTCTTATCAAAGATTACCTCATATTTATTCTTTTTTTGTTTTATTATTCCAAATTAAATTGCTTACCAACCAAAAAAAAAGAAGTTTTGTAATTATACGTAGAATAAAAATACTTTTGAGTTTGTTTATAAGTTAAGGAACTTAATTTTTAATGAACTAATTTTAATGAATGTTTATTATAAACAGATATGATTCAAATTATTAAATATACTTATATTATTTTAGTTAAGTATTTTTTTAAGTTTTGTGTAGAAGTATTTGTTTGTTGTTTTAAGAATAATTAACAAAAGAGTTTGCATAGTTAAGACTTTTATATTTAATTTAATTTTTTTTTTAAACTCCTAAAATTCAAAAAAAAAGATTTAATAGTTAATTTTTTAATATACAATTTAAAATACAATTTTTCTCTGTAGCTCTGTTTCTTTGTGATTTGTTTAAAATGTAAAACATTTTTAAGATAACATAAAAAATTTATGAATTAAATTCCTGGCAAACGCGTTCTAAACTACGTATCAAAAATATGCTCAAAGCAGACATGAAACTTTTTTATATTTTTATTTAAAGCAAGTTAAAACGCTAAAACATAAATTTAAAAAATATTAAAAAACCTATATTAATCTTTGCTAGTCAAAACAAAATTGCTGTTAAAATAATTAACAAGGGTTTTTGTTTATCAATGTTAATATTTTTTGTTTACTCCAGAAATTTTTAAAAATAAAAAAATTATAATTATTTTTTATTCAATAACAATTTATAAACAACAATTATTCAAAAACAAATTCCAGAAATAATTAAAAAATATATACTTATATAATATTTTACTAAATAATATTGAACTAAAATTAATATTAAAATAATAATTGAAACAAACTAATTAAATTAAAATTATAATTGAAACAAACATAACAAACTTTTCATAATAAATTTATATTTAAAATGTTTATAGTTATTTGAGTTAATTGTTAAATTGAAATAGTTAGCGGTTATTTATTTATTGCGGTAGTTAAAACACTTAACGTCTATAAAAAAAAATAAAGACAATTTTATGACGTCAAGTATCGTGTTAAGCTGATGCATTAAGCGTTTTTTTATTTAAGCAAGGCCTGTGTCCTGTTTTTTTTAAGTATACTTTAACAATAAAATTACTGTTGACTATGATTGTGTATAAACTTTTTTTAAATAAATCTGTGTTTATTGTAAACATTTGTTTGTTTTCCTTTGTTTTTATTAGTTATCCTCCTATATATAAAAAGTTTTTTTAATAGAAATGTTTCATTTTTCTCTGTGGACTTTTATTGCTCAGTCTAGTTAAAGCACCACAGATGACCACATTTACACCACACACCACAGATGACCACATTTACACCACACACCACAGATGATCACATTTACACCACACACCACAGATGATCACATTTACACCACACACCACAGATGATCACATTTACACCACACACCACAGATGACCACATTTACACCACACACCACAGATGATCACATTTACACCACACACCACAGATGACCTGCATTAAATATAACAAAAATAATCTTAAAAATATAAAGAAACTAATAATAGAGATAAGACTAATCAGAGGATAGTTGGATAGGTTTGAGTGTTTTTTAGAGTTCGTAAAAATTGTAACCACTTGCAAATAATTCTGCCTAATTCTGGAGAGAATTAATAAGATCAGACCCATGAACTAGAGATGGAATTTTAGACTTACTTTAGTTAATGATAAAATTAAAGACTTTTCAAAAACTTTGTCAGAGAAGACAAAAGTGGTTTGAGCATCAGCATTTAGAGAGCTCAGAAGAAAATGTAAGAGGTAAAAGAAAACTTGGAAAGAGTGCGTAATTGGAATGCGTTACAGCTATGGTTGAGGTATGAACAAGCTTTAGTTAAGGAAAGAACATGCTTGAGAATGCTTATATTAAAGAAACAGCATAGAAAGGGAAAGCTAAAGCAAAATTATATAAAATTTTCAAAAATAATTATTTTATAATAAACATATTAAGAAAAAAAATATATCAAAAACTTGTAAAAATGCACTTTTTTTATTTCTAGTTAAAAATCGATAGTTTTTATGAAATAAAAATTAAATAATTTTTATACAAAACAATTATTATTTTTGAAATTTTCATATTATTTACGTTTCGAGTAGCAGGTAAACCTTTTAAAGAACTTTTGAAAGAATAAATAAAGAACTTTTGCTACATGTATATTTTAAATATTCAAGAGTTTTGGGGCACTTCTAAAAATATTTTTTGTTCAAAAATGTTAAACTCTAGTGTTATTATATTATGTAGAACATATTAAGAGCTCAGATAAGACAATTTTGAAAAATTGTTTTTTTTTTTTTTTTTAATTTATATATACTGATGTAAAATTAAACAAGTTAATAATCTATAATTCAAAAAAAATTTCCAAAATAGAAAATTATTAGAAACTGTAATTTCTGAAGTTTTAAAATAACATAACAAATTCTCACACAAAGAAATACTCACTTATCTCTGTGTAAAATAACTTATTAAAACTTCAATAAAATTGCAAAGATATTTATATTAATAGTGTGAATCAAATATTTTTAATAATATACTTTTTAAGTTGTTAAATGGATTTGTACAAAAAGTACAACTTTAAAGTAAACATACTTCTTCTAAGCTTCCTCATCCTCGAAGATGGAAGAGATGAATTCAAACTTTCGTCAAGCTTTTTTTCATTATCATCGATTGAAGTGATTGAAATATGGTCATAATTAAAAGTATTATCTTCAAAATCAATTACTTCATTGTCATATGCCTTGTCTTTTATTTTTTCCATTTCTGTAAAATCATTTTTGACAGTCGCTTGATAAAAAGTTGATGGGTTTTCTATAAATAAAATAAAATTTATCTCATATAAATTGCAAGTTTATCATAATAAAAAAATAAACTATAAGTTAATAACTTATATTTATAATGGATTTTGAAAAATTTATTTTTAAAACAGTGATGCAGAAAAAAAAAAATGTCACAACACAATATAATAGAATTTTTATCACTATGACATTGAATATACAATGATCAATATTGCTGTGTATTGATATATATACTGCATAAACTGATCAGGCCTTCACAGGAAAACCTGCAATTGCATGCCATTATATGACCAAATAATAACTTTGTTTTGATGATTTGACCATGGTTGTTAACATGTTTTTAGAATTTGAACATTTTAAAAATGCGCCAAAAAAAAACCTCTTTTAAAAAAAAAAAAAAAAAAAATTTCTTAATCTATTTTTAATGACTACAAAAAAATTTACCTATACTTAACTAAAAAAAAATCTTATAAAAAAAGTAATCTTAACAAAAGAAAAATAAAAAGAAATTATTTAAAACCTAAACACAAAAAATAAAATTATAATTTACCTAAAAAAAAAAAAATTAAAACACTAAGATACGTTTAATTACAAGTAATTACATTTGGAATAATAAACTTGGAACCTTTTATCTTTACTTATTTTTTATAACATCATGGGAAACTGTTTTAAAACTTACTTTTAATGATTGTTTTAACTATTGTTTTACTATTTTAAAACTAGCAATTTAAACACACACTAGTTAAAAATAACGCTTACTAAAAAATATATACATATATATATTCCAGACTTTATTAATGCTTATATTTGTTAGTTTTGTTTTTTCTTATTTTTAATTTTTTTTTTATATTAACATTTATCATAAAAAATACCTAACTATATATAATTAAAAAATATCTATATATGATATTCAATACTTTAAATAAAAAATTATTAGCAGTGATTTTAAAAGGGTTTCAATAAAAACTATTAGTAAAGATCCAAGTTATTATATATATTTAATTGTATTGGGATTCAAAAAAAAATCTTTTTTTAACAAAAGTTTTTATCTTTTCGAGTGTATTGAGTTGAATATTTTTTGTACAAACTTCTTAAAAAAGACTACCATTGTCTAAAAAATTTCATTTTGCAACGTTACAATAAACATTATTTGTAATAATGTTTACCATACTTTTATTTAAAGACTCTTTTGTATAAAAACTGACAAAAATCTTGCTGATAAACAAAATGAGGCATGTATAGCAACAAATAAAAAAAATTAATATTATTACTGCCCTAGTATAAATACATGCATCAAATATGTAGCACAAACCAAATATGTAACATTATGTAATACCAACGAAATAAAAAATATCCCTTTTATAGGAAATCCAGAGCTTATATTAGTACTTATGTCAAATTTAGTTAATATACCACTAATATTAAATTGTATATTAACTTTTTTCATATTTTTGGCTATTCTGGTAAACTGAGCTTTGGCCCCACAATTTTTCCAAATTTTAAAAGTTTTAATGGAAATTTTCATACTTCTTTTCATATTTGATCATTCTTTATAGATACCAACCGCCTGAGCGCATATGTCACAACAAGATATACACATTATGTAGGCTATATGGTTAAATGCCAGTCACTGTCATTTAATAATTTTAGACTATTTACAGTTAGTTTTTCATGAAAAGTAAAATGAGTACACAATATAAATTATCATATATTTTAACTTCAATAAATGCATGATTTAACTTTTATTTGCATCAAACTTTAATTATTAATATATTATTGAACTTTGAATTATTGATACACTATTGATAAGTTTTATTTTTAATTTAAATAAACTTAAATTATTTTTCTTACTTTTAATTCAAATAGCATAGCAATAAAAAATGTAATTATATATGGAATTGCAAAATAATCTGAATTTTTAGACGCAGAAAAGCAATACAATATAATATTTATATAAAGCCAATAGTAAAATAAATAAAATATCCCCCCCTCCCTTAAAAAAAAAAACTTTTTAGGATATTATATTTAAAAATTTACTTTAAAAGCCAGAAAGACTTTACATTTGAAATAAACCATTTAAAAACTAAGATTTCAAAAAAAATTGCAATTAATACTTATTTAATACTTAAAAGTTAATTTTTTAAAGGCTTTAATTTTTTTAATTTTTATTTTTTTATCTTTAAAATAAAATACTTTACTTAAATAATAGTAAATAATTATAGAATTTTGTTTAAAACTAAACTTTGTTAAAACTAGCAAATGAAACACATGAAGCAGAAACTATTGGCTTTTTGATAAAGAATAATTTCAGTTGTATCAATAAATAATAATGTCAGTTTTAAAATATAACAAAGAATGTCAGTTGTAAAACATTAACATAGAAACATTCAGTTGTGGAACATTGACAAAGGAAAATGTCAGATGCTTAAATAACAGATTATAAATATATACTTTTACGCTATATACTTTTGTCTTCCTGCTGACAAACATGCTTTTTATGTAACTTTTTGGATTCAGAATAGCATGGAATCCTTTATTCCCTATCAACCATTCCAAATCAAGCCTCACTCTTCTCCATGGTTTCTCTAATTATGCTGCTGCAATTTTTAATTGTAACTTTTACTTTCATATTTATTAGCAAAACAACTCTCCAGAAAACAGTCACCTGTTTACTGTTGCTATAAACCATTGTAATAAGATTTTGCTTAACGCCAAAGCCCGCTATTTTCAGGTCTAAAATCTTATATTTCACCTCAAAAATTAGACTTCTGGAGAATCTTTAACAGTGTAATAATAAGTGCAAATCTTTTATTCCTCTTCTCTTGCATGGTTCAGATTTTGTCACCTAAAAACAAACCTGTATTGTTTGCTTAGAACTTTTCATCATTATCATCTCTTTTCATCATTATCATCATTATCAGTTGTATTTTACCTGATATAGCCAACAAACATGTTGATCCATTGCTTGACATTTATGTTACTCCAGCTTCTGTATCTAAAGTGATTTCCTGCTTAGACTCAGAAACTTATTTTTCAGCCTGCTTGAAAGCAGCATCTGTTATCCCTATTTTCAAAAATTATGGAGAGCGATCTGAAACATCTGATTTGTCTACCATCATAATAGTCTTCCCTCTCATCTTTTTCATAAACTTTTCTTTAATCTCTCCTTTTTTAATCTCTCGTTAATCTCTAAACTCTCTTATCTTGAATGTATTAACTTACTTTCTAATGTCAATATTAATTTTGATCTTCTTGTTTTTGCTGTTCACCAGCCACTGAGAGCAACAGTATTACCTTTAAGTATTATTCTATTTTAGCAGTAGATTTAGCAAATTTAAGTTGTTAATTTAAATTCAAAAAACTCAAAAAAATTCAACCAAACTTAATTTAAACTTAATTTAAATTCTACTGCACCAAAAATTTCTAAAAAATTAAGCTTTGATAGAAATATTAAAACTCTCAAATTTTGTACACAATTTAGTTGTGTTGAATCATTTTTTGATAATGAACCATTAGAAAAACACATGCTATCAGAATACCACACTTTTCAATCTGAGAAGAAATCTATGGTAGATAAAGTAAGGCTATTTTACATCAACAAAATTAAAATCTCAAACATAAATTGTTCTGATAATCTGCTAAACAAATATTGTAAGTATTTACCAATTAATTATTATCCACCATCCACTGAGAGTATAAAAGGATTCTCCTTTTATAGCAGAAGTGAAATCCTTTTTAAGCATTTAAGTTTAAAAAGGATCTTACTTCTGCTCTCAGTGGCCAACACTCTCTGGATCTCACTTCTGCTACAGCATAGAGCTCTCAGTGGCTGTTGAACTTTAACTCAGATAAAACTCTATTTTTTCAGCTAATCACTATTGCAACAATCTTGATCTTCCTATATTTATAAATAGTAATGTACTCAATAAGTCATCTACCCTTTGTCTTCATGGACTAACTCTTACTTCCGAAATTTCTTGCAAACCATATATCAAATCCATTGCTAAATTAGAATCAGCTAAGGTTGCATCTCTTTATTGTGCTTGCCACTTTTTTACTCCGGATTATATTCTTTATCTCTATAAATCTCAAAACCTTCTTTGTATGGAATACTGTTACCGTATCTAGAGTAGTAAACAACAGCTAAAAATGAGACCAGCAAATCCGGCCCCGGCAAAATTGTAATATTTAGCAGGGGTTGATAGCTGGGCTAGAAATAAAATTTATAACTCTTTATATATAATAATTTTGTACTTACATTTACTATTTATTAAATACTGGCACATATTTATGCCAGTACTAATAAATAGGGACAGATACAGTTAAAGAATGCAACTTGTTGAATAAGAAGCCAAGCAAGAATGAAAGTTCGTTTGAGCATTGACCATGATTAGAGAAACAGCATAAAAGAGGAAGGCTAAAGTCTGCTGGCGCTGTTGATGATGATGACAATAATGAAAATGATGATGATAATAATGATGATAATGATGATAGCGATGATGATGATGATAATAATCATGATGACAATGATGATGATGATGACCATGATGATCATGTTGATCGTAATGATGTTTATAAATGCATGTATATGCAAACTCAAACATAAATTTTGAAAAAAAAAGTACTTATATTTATGCAGCCCCGGTCACAAACCCCACCCCAGCTATATTTTATCAAACCCGGCCTAGCCTTGGTCAAATATCAACCCTGGTCGTTTATTAATCTAGAGCAGATCTTCAAAGGATGCCCTTTCTCTTTTAGATAAGGTGCAAAAAACATTGTAAACATAGTTGGACCTGCTCTTGCAGTCAACCTTTAACCATTGGTCACATTGTCGTAGTGTTGCTTCTCTTTCTCTTTTCTAAAAATACTATAACTCTTGTGCTATCTACTAAAAGTCATTCTCGTGTTATTCGTCATTCAATTTTCATCTTTTCTCCTCCAGTAATTTCTAACTCTAATAGCGGTTGCTTGCAGCATTGTTGAAAGAGAAGATGATTCAAAAAATATATATATATTCTACAGTTTTTCATTTTTTATTTATGAAAAAACAACATGATATTTTGCAGCGATATGTGAACTTCAGTTATTATTCTCAAACAATTTGAGTAATTTTAAAAAGTAAATTTTATTGTTTTTTAACTATTTGAAAATTATCAAAACTGATCTGTATTAAAACAAATCCAGAAGATATCCCCTTTATTTGTTTTAACACAGATGTGTTTCATAATATTTTTAGAGACAATGAAGTATTGGAGCTCTAAAAATATTTATAAAACCTTAGAACTCAATAAAGAAAATTGAAAAGGATGCAAAAAGTCCCTATATTTTTTTGATCATTTTTGAATTCCTAGTAGAGAACAGTAAGTTGCAGAGTTCTTGATTAAAATGCCACTCCAGGTTAAAAAAAAAAAGGATTATCTAATGACATAAAAAGACAAAATGATTGACAGTAAAAATTGTGATTTTAGATTTTTCAATCAATACAAAAGTAACTTTTAAAATTTGTGTCAAAAAAGTTAATAGATATATACTTTTTATATTTTATATTGAACGATATGAGTTCAAATCCTGCCACCGCAAACTCAGTGCTTAAGTAGTACTTCAGTATGCTAAAATGTTGGTCAATAACCTGTGCAAGTTTTTAAAGTACTGTGCAAGTTTTTAAAGACCTGTGCAAAATAAAGTTTTTTAAAACAGTCATTTGGTTCTTTGATTTTTGCACAAATTGGTAAGGTCAGACCATCTTACTTTTAGCTGATAAGATTATATTCAATTTTATCAAGCCTGTATGTTTTAACTTGTATTAACTTATAATCAACAAAAAAGCAATTTTCAAACTGTATAACATTTTTAAACTTTTAAAAAAGTTTTCAAACTTTTACTTCTTTATATATAAACTTACTTTCAAAAAATCTATATCTTATATTAAAAAAATGTAATAAACAAAAATTATATAAAAACATTAAAAATATGTATCTTACATTAAAAAATGGAAAAAAAAAAAAAAAAAACACATATATATAAAATTAAAATTAAAAACAGTAACTACAGTTAAAAAAACACATCAAAACAAACACACTAATATTAACACATCAGAACAAACCATCTAATAAAAACAAATCAATGAAATTTGGGTTTACACCAATTAATATTAAAACTAATCAAAGAGGTTGAATAAAAAAAAAACAAAAAAAAAACAACAACAACTACCGATCATGTAGTTCATCCATTTCTTTTTCTTTTTCTTTTGTTATTCTTTCTACTTCAAAACGACGACGAGCTTTCTCTTCACTTAGTTCTTTTCTCAAGCGGTTAGATTCTTCTTCAGTAGCCACCAATCTGTTTTAAAAATTTTATTTACTACTTCTAGGTTACCATGAATACATTTAAATTACCATGACTACTGTTTAAATTAGAATGACTTTCTTTTTTTTTTGAAAATTAAATAAAGTTTCTTTTAAAATTACTTTAATACAAATCAAAAGAAATAAAAACTATTTCTCAAAATAAATAGAAATAATAAATACTATATAAAATAAAATAATAAAAAAAATAATAATGAATAAATACTCAGGAAAAAAAAGTATTTACATATATTTTCAAAACAATAAAAAGAAAGTTTAAAGTTTATAAAATCTAATTTTATAAAGTTTATAAATCATATTCCTA